AAATTTTTTTTTTTTTTTTTTTTTTTTGTCCTTTTTTTTTTTTTTTTGAGACCGGCCGCACCACGCTCAGCCAGTGAGCGCTGTGAGCACACCGGTCATCCCTATATAGGATCCGAACCCGTGCGGGAGCGCTCCTGCGCTCCCAGCGCCACACTCTCCCGAGTGCGCCATGGGCTCGGCCCAAAACAGTAATATTTCTGCAATAAAAGGTACAAATACTTCCAATAAGTGGGCAAAGACTATAAATCGCCCTATGTCCAGGAAGTTTGGGGTGTTCACAGCTTTTTGTATTTAGAATTGAAGATAAGGAACTGTAGACCTGCAGAGAAAATCTTATTAAGATTTCAGAAATCCTTATAATACCTACTCCTAACTGGTTCATCCTGCAGATTAGTAAAACCTCTGAAATGTTTGTTTTTGAAGATACCTGTATTTAGGAAAAGTGATTTAAAATAACTAAAAAAAATACATTCATCCATACAAAATTCTTCCCCATGTCATCTATTTCACAGCCATCCTGGGCTGTAAGGACACCAAGATGGAAGAGCAAGCCATGGCAAGAGCCCGGATCCTAGAGGCTCTCAAGGGCAATATTAGCTACCAGTTACTGAGTGCTTCTCTATGTACTGAGCATTCACCTTTAATCCTTACAACAACCAAGGAGAAGGGCATTATCACTCCCATTTTACAGATGAAGAAACTAAAGCTCAGAGAGGTTAAGTAACTTTCCATAGCTATATAGCTAGATAGGTAACAAGTCGGATGCCTGTTCCTTTCACTACACCTTACTGTGTCTCTAAGAAAACAGAGAAAAAAAAAAAAAGAGAATATATGATGAATCAATCCAGAGCTTACTTGGCAGGCAGATAATTGTATGACCCTATTTAAAATAGTACCCCCCCATCATTTTACCCCCTTTTTCTGCTTTGCTTTTCTTTATATCACCCTTTGACATTACATTGTTTATTAGTTTGCTCATTTACTGTCTACCTCCTCACTAGAGAGTAAACTCTATGAGGCCAGGAACTTTGTTTTGCTCACTGCTATTTCCCCTGCATCTGAAACTGTGCTGGCTTAGAGAAGATGTGCATATATTTATATAGTGAATGAATATAAAACCCTATGAATCCCTACCGCAGGAAAGACTGAATGAAAAACTGCTGGAGTGGAGTATATATGCACAGGATTTTTCACTCAGCCCTGAGATCTCTGTGGCTGCTCCATTACCAGGGCTGTAGACTACTGAACATCTGATTGGGCACTCTGGAGTTCAAAATATGGTACTGGGCTGGCCAATTAGCTCACTTGGTTACAGCATGGTACTGATAACACCAATGTCAAGGGTTCGGATCACTGCACCAGCTAACCACCAAAGAAAATAATAATAATAACAATAAAAATAATAATACCAATTTCTATAATGCAGCAAGGCCAATTTTTGTAATGAAGCAAGAGGACTTAAATCCAGGATAAAACAAGAGGAAGAAAAATTTAATACAACCTATTACAACTGTATTTTCTTCCCTTCCTTACAAACACTCCTGACACATCTCAGACACACACACACCCCCAACAAGGTAAATCCCCTTGTTATGGACTTGAACTGTGTTCCCCCAAAATTCATAAGTTAAAGCCCTAACCTCCATTACCTCGGAATATGACTGTGTTTGGAAATAGGACCTTTAAAGAGGTAATTAAAGTTAAATGAGGTTATTAGAGTAGGGCCCTAATCCAATACGACTGGTGTGCTTATAAGAAGAAACGACAGGGATGCTCATGCACAAAGAAAAGGCCACGTGAGGACATAGTAAGAAAGCAGATATCTGAAGACCAAAGAGAGGCCTCAGGAGAATCAGGGTGCCTGCTGACACCCTGATCTTGAATCTATAGCCTCCAGAACCGTGAGAAAATAAATTTCTGTTGTTTAAGCCTCCCAGTCTGTGGTATTTCGTTATGGTAGCCCTAGTAGACTAAATTACCCTTATAGATAGATTAGGAAGAACACACCATCTAGCCTCCAAGCACAGCAATAGAGTGAGGTTCAACAATATTTCTATTTCAGTACAGACAAGGCCATATCTGAAAGGCTTTTTTGTCAAATGTTTCCTCTACACAGAGGCCAGTCTCTGGGCTGGAAAATGCCAGAGACACATTCAATCCCCAACTCACCCCCAGCTCAAGTGCCACCTCAAAGACCTCAGACAGCCAGACTATCTCAGGCCACATCATGCTCTCCCTTCTGCCAAACTGCAGTCTTACATCAACAAGCGCTGCCTTGCACTGATCGTTACTTTTTTTTTCAATTGGTCAATAAACACTGATTTTTAACAGCAATATAGGTGTCATATACTCTCCTCCAACCCAAGAGCTGGAAGTCTTTCACTTTTGTGTATTTCCCAAACACCAGCGCTTGGCCGGGCACACGGGTACTCATTCATTCATTCTTTAGTCAACAAATATTCAGTACGGAACTACAATGTGCCAGGGACCAAGTGAGGCGCTGTGAACAAGACAGGCACGCTCCCCGCCTTTACGACGCGTACACTCCAGCCAAGGAGACTGACATTAACAAATTATACATGTCATTACAATTGCGATACGTGCTATGAAGAACCACAAGACACAACGTCTGCTTGTCCCTGTGCATGCCGGTCGGCTGCCGGCCACACTCCTGTGCACAAATTCTCCTCTCTCCCAGCCACACATGAAGCTGACCTCGCCTCTCAGTGCCCCGTTCAAACCGACGCCAGCCCAGACTTCCAGACCCCCAATACAGACAAGATCCGGTCACAGCAGCCCATCAGCAAATATGCAGGGTCTGCGCCCTGTGCGCGGCCAAACACCGCAGGCCTCGCATCCAAAGGATGCTCCCCAGGCTGGGGTGGGGCTGGGGAAGGGCCTTCATCCTCCAGACATGGTGAGGGTGGGGAGCACAGGTGGCCCACGCGGGGCTGTGGGACAGGCCGATCCTCTCTCGGCCCAGCCCTCCGCGCTGTCTTCCCAGGCGCTACCCCGCCGGAGGGCTCTCGCGGAAGCAGACGCTCTGCCCTGCAGACAGGTTCTTCTCGCTGCCCCTCAGCCCCCCGCCCTCAGTCCCGACCCCACCAGCTACCAGGCTTCTCCGTCACGCCTCGAAGAGACGCTTCCCTCCCCGCCCTCTCCTCCTCAGCCCCCAGACTAGGATAATCCAACCCAGAGGCCGGCTCGGACTTGAGCCGCCCAGTCCCCGAGCCGCCCACCCACACCCAGGCCGGGCGCTCCTGCGTCCCGGCGCCCCTCAGTCCCACCCCGGCCGAGGGGAGGAGTCACGTACCCAAGCGAAGAGCGTGGCCGCAGCAGGGACAGCCTGCGAGGCGCCCTGCTCACGCGCCATGCCGGGACGCTGCGCCGGCGCTTCCGGGAGAAGCCGCGCGGGGGCGGGCCCGCCGGCGGAGAGGCCGGCGCAGTAGAGACCCGGCCGCGGCGGAGGGATCGGCGTCGGGGGCTGGGTCCGGCGCGGGGAGGGGCCTGTGGATGGCAGAGGGCACCGGTCGTGGGCGGGGCCAGCCCTCAGTCGCCGGAGCAGCCTCCCGGGCGGCCCTCCCGGACGCTCTGCCAGCGTCCCTGCCACCGGCCTCTGTCTTGCCAGGCCACTCGGCCTCTCTTCGCTCCCCTCGCGCTTTTCATTTTTAGTAATAATTCCATACAGGCACAGAGTTCACATTTTCGTCTCCACGGTTTCGTCTCCTTGGTGTCCCACAACAGCCCAGAGGGGCTGACAGGGCAGGAATTGTAACACCGTTTGCTGAGAGAGGGAATTGAGCCAGAGACGGTGGAAAGGGTCCTGCGCAGTGTCTCAGGCGGAACTGTCCCGAGCCTGCTTTGATGTGCGTTTGCAAAATCTGCGGGAGCTTCTTGGCAGGCGAGTGTAGTGTCTTGTGTGGCTGGTGTCACCCTCAGCGCCTGGCACGGAGCGGGAACTCGCACCCCGCGACGCTGAATAGAGGAGGCTGGTCCGCATCGCCTCCTGCCCGGGCAGCCTTCTCACCCTCAGCGCTGCGGGCAGGGCTCGGGCCTAATTCTGATTCTAGATAATTTTCAGTAAAATAAATCAATACTGGGTAATTGTCACCCAACAAAGATTTTAATATAAAATGGCTTTTATCAGAGACCGTCATAACTGCCGGTGGAGTTAAATGAGTACAATTTTCCAGAAGGGAAATGTGGCAATGTGTGTCAGAAATATGGAGCAAATGGGCTCACACAGAAGATGATAATCCACATTCAGTAGGTCTTGGCCCCTCTGCTGACACAGACCTCTGGTACGCATCACCCTTTATGCCTGGGAGTCCCTGGGAAGCGTCTCAGGTGAGCTCTTACACAGTCCTTTCGCTTTCTTCCACTCCACCCACTTCTTGTTTTTTCTGCCTGTAAGGCCACTTGAGGGCAGCCCCTCACCGTTACCTCTCCAGCCTGTGGCATCTGGAGAACATCGATGATCATACTAAGAAAAATGCAAACTTTGGAGAGGCAAAGCGGCTCTTTCATTTTCTAGAAACCTTGATGTGCAGAAACTATGCCGTGTTTGCTGACAGTTGTATAAGAGTGGGCTTTTTTGTTGTGACTGTTCCTTTCAAGCATGGGTAAAGGACGTAAAAATGAACACTTGCTGACTCAGTTTTGGCTCAGAGCCCAAGGCAGTAAGTGCCAATTACTCCCAGATTATAAAGTGAGGTGTAAGACCACCAAAGTAGAACTGACAAAGTAGATGTCTAGAAACCAGTGTGTGACTTCCAGTCTGTGAAAAGGGTTGGAGAGGCCAAGAGAGAATTCTAATAGGATATGTGGCCACAAGTTATCAAAATGGTGTGGGTCCACGCATCTCATGTCTAAAGAAAGGTAATTCAACAGGGCCGCTAAGAGAGCTTAGTATGCATCCCTCTAGATTGGGACTCAGGCAGGCCACTGTCTAATCCATGCCAAAAAATACAAGGGTTTATGGTTGGATAACTGCTCTGATAGTTGAGCAAAGTGAGACTGATGCTTTGGGGAGGTCTTTCATGCCCAGAGTTTTTCAAGATAAAGAATGGTCTGGGTATCTCTCATGTGAGTTTCCTGTTCATGAGCAAATTGGCCAGGGAATGGTCCTAGACCCTATCCAGGGGAATTCTGAAGTGACACCCACTGGAGAGTTGACCACTGAGAGAGATGAATTCAACAGCCCACTCAGAGACATACACGTCAAGAGCTCCTGAGAAATAAGAGAATGGCAAGGTCTTTCAAAACAACCACAAGAAAATGAGTCAGCATTAAATACTTACCAAGTACAGAAAGCACTAATGCCAGCTCCCAACTGTATCAGACCAAAAAGAACTTTTCTACTCCTTACCTCTCCTCCCCACCACCACTCTCCAACCCTGCAGGAGTCGGAGTGGGGAAGGAGCAAGGAAATGAAGAAGCTGAGCACACCTCCTCCTTTCTGAGTTCTAGAGGAGGAGAAAAGCTTTAACTTGAAAGTATGATATTTTAAATTTTTACACATGACTTTTGAAATACTAAAATGAGGAATCGTGTGTGTGTAGACATAGAGAGGGAGATTAGAAGCAGCTAAGGACTTTTCGTTATCTGTGAGTGAGCAGAAAAGTCAAG